AAAAAAAAAACATGCAACGGCGTGCAGGTGCAACATGCAAAGGAGTGCAAAGGCGTGCAAATGGCAAACGGCGTGCTGATGACAAACGGCGTCACGAAGTCAGTTAAGGAAGTGTGACAGACATTAACGGTGTTTGTTAGATTTGACGGAAGTTAGTTTTCCGTCCAATTGGGACCTTATTTGAGAATTTTCGTGGAGTTCGGGACCTTAATTGAGTGCAATTGAAGTTTGGGTCCAACATTGTGAATTTTGTGTAAGTTTGGGTCCTTATGTCATATTTATGCCTTTTTTTTATTCATGTTTTATTAGATTTTTTAATTTTTAATTTTTTAATCTTAAAAGTAGAAATAAATAAAATACTCAAATCTTAATCTCTCATCAATTTCACTATCTCTCAACTTTTCCTCTTCTCCACTCTTGCTCTCTCCATCTTCATCTCAATCTCTCTAATCCTTATCTTTGGTGGTATTCGTGTAAAAAATTAGATTATGTGGCACATAATGAGTTATGTTATATGATATCATAAAAAATATCATTTTTTAAAAATAAAAAGCAAGACTACTTACTGAAAATCAAAATCTAGTGGTTAAGGTATCCTTATAACCATTAGAAGTACAAAGACAAGAACATTAAAGTCCGTTCTTAATTGTTAATTTGTTCTTAATTAAAAATTTGTTCCTAATTAATAAAAATCAATTCTGATCCAATTTTTTCTTGCATTTGGTTAGACATATTTTGGATTTGCTTTTTAAATTTTAATATTAAATAAGGTTATATTTTCTTGTATAATATCCTTCTAAATATTCAATAGAGTTATATTTTTTTGTATAATACTCTTATAGATATTAAATAGGCACTAGATATTAATATATATATATTAGATTTTTTTTTGAACTCTAATTCTTCGTGTCTCTTTTTTTAATGAAAGTTAATATCTTTATGAAATTATGAATTCTAAATATTGTATAAATATTATATATTTGACATATATTTTACTTCCACCTATATAATCACTAATCTTTTCCTTTTCTTTTCTTAAGATTGGAAAAAAATTGAATTATGAAATGAAAATTAATGTTTAATAAGTTTTCTAACTAAATAGTTAATTAGTAATAAAGTTTTTTAACTAAATAATTAATTAATATTAGATTTTGTTAAAGAAAAACATAGAAAAATATAAAAAAATTTAGAAAAAATTTTAATTTTAATTTTAATTTTTTAAAAGTTGAGTCCATTTGATCCAATCTGATACCCGCGTGGGTGGATCATGAGTCAATTTCCTTAACTTGACACCCAAAATGACCCAATCAAAACAACTCAAGATCCGAGATGATTTAATCCGAACCCACCCAATCCGACTTGTTTGCCAGGTCAACAAGCGTATAAATGAGTTTTCTTTAATTTGTGTTATTATTGCACATATTAAGATATATTTATTGTATATTTTAGATATTAATTTAAATAAAAAAATTAAAAACTAACATTAATATCATTTGTTTAATTAAAAAAATTCATATAGCATGTTACTAAAATTATGATAGTACTATATTTCAGGTATTATGTAGAATTATAAGTTTATAATCAAATTATAACATTAAATAAGTATAACATTATATTAAACAAGTGAAAGTGTATAATATTATGAGTGTAATTTTTGAATAAAAAACTAATTATATAATGATATATCATGTTATAAACTTATAATAACATAAACTATAATATTTTTTTACAAAATTAATGTTATTTTTTGTTTTTTATTTAAATTAACTTCTAGAAAATACAATAAACAAACCTTTAACCTAAAAATAAATTAATTACACAATTTTTCATTAATTTGTTTAGAAAATTATAAAAACTATAACTTTATTTTCAACCTCGGTAATACATTATAATTTAATTAGAAAATTAAAAAAACTAAAGTTAATTTTAATTTTTTATAATAATTATTAAAAAAACA